GACCGCATCGTCCGCGTCCTCCTCCCCGTGCTTCCTCCTCGTTTTCCCTCCTCCCCCCCAGGAGGGAAAACGTTTTCCCTCTTCCCTCCTCGTTTTCCCTCCTCGTTTTCCCTCCTCCTCTCCGGAGGAGGCCCGCGCACACAGGCGCTGGCAGGAGTCTCCCGAGGGCGCTCAGGAGCTAGGAGAATACAGGAAAGCTCTAGGCTCCACCTTGGGGGGCCTCGAGCGACAGATCAAGTGCTCGCAGGAGCTCAAGCTGGACGAGGCACAGGTGCAAGCGCTCCGCCTCGAGTACGCGGTCGTGCTCTACCAGCTCATGTTCTCGCGCACGGCCTCCGCCCGCACCGCCAAGCAGCTCAGTTTCGTCAACCGCGCCAAGCGCAGACTGATAGAGGCCACCCAGCTACAGACCGAGGCACAGCTACACTTGAACTCATGCGTTGCCCAAGTGCACGCACTACATGAAGAACTTGCTCATGCTGAAGATCTTCTCGAGCACTTCAGAGACCTGGAGGACACCGAGAAGCAAGATAATGAGCGCAAGCGGGCTGAAGCTCGCGCCCAAGCGGCGCACACTCGGCGCCCACGCGCCTCGGACTACATGGGCGAGGATGGTGAGGATGATTCTGAATAGGCGCCCCTTGCAGCAGCAGGTGCGCCCAGGTCGCGTGCCAAGTGGCCAGCAGCGCCAAGTGGAGGCGCTCCCAGCCCCGCTGCCCCAGCTGGCCCACGCACGCCGAGCACGCCGACCACCAGTCTACCGCCTGGAGCTCCACCGAGTTTGGGCTCAGCGGATTCTAGATCAGAATTGTCCACACCAGGATTGCTTTCGACCTTGCAGCATTCACAGCAAGCGCTGATGACACAGCTACTCGAGTTCAAAACGGCCATGACGGACATCCTGAAACAGCTTGCCGACGTCAGCCTGAACAGCCGGCTTCAACGACATATTCAAGCACTTCAGGCCTCTCCAATGCCAGCCATTCCTACGACCAGACGTGCTAAAGACAAGTCGGTGCCCCCTGAAGCACGTGCAGAGGGCCGCCGACGACTGGAGGGAGCCCTTGCCCAGGGAGCAGAAGCCAGCCGAGCTAGATCTACTTCTCCGAGACGCCCCTCAGGCCAGGCCCCGCCCAAACAAGTCAAGATCAATGATGAGATGGCGAAGGGCTCCAAGCACAGCCGCCCTGATGAGCCACATGAGCAGGCCGCAGGCGAGGACGAGACGGACATGGCCGCACTGAGCGGAGCTGACAGCCCTGACGGCCAGCAGTCAGTTTTTCGCCAGACCGCCAGCCCGCCCACTCAATCCTAGCCTCGGCTGCGCGCGAGGCGCGCCCTGCTGAAAATGCAGTCGTGCTCGCTCAGGCCCCATCTGGTCCCTCCCTCCCACATGCCTCTGTACAGCTTCCGACGCCAGAAAACACCACAGAGGACCACTCGTTACATGAGCGCGACTTGCATGCTTCAAGACCTAAGTTGCCCACCAAGAATGCGGTGACATTAACCGGGCCGGCCTTCGCCGAGAATGCGGTGACATTACCCCGGCCGGCCAATCGAGCCAGGGGGGCCCCTGTTGGGACCTCCAGAGGAGTTCAGCGATCGCCTATCCCTGACCTCCGACCCACCCAAGAGCTCATTGAGCGCCCGTGGCCCGTGCAACCCCCGCTGGCATTCGTCTTCTGCTCGGGCGCTTCCAGGTCTCATCCAGTATGATCCCAGGTTGGAGTATACGCGGTTGGAAGTCTACACGGATGCGGCGGCAGGAGGGTACAAACACCATGGGCAAGTATGCGGGCCAGCTTGGGCGCTCTGCATCATGGCAGTCTCAGTGCCAGGTGTCACGCTGCTAGGGCACTTGGCAGGGCCACTCTCGGGCTGGGGCGCACAGGGCCCACTCACCCCTCTGAGGGCCGAATTGGAGGCCGCCATTTGGGCCATTGCCTCGGTCATGCAGTCCTCTCTCTGTCCACTCCCTATCAGCTCGATCACTGACAACATGAATGTCCTCAGAGTGCATCAGGGAGGATATGTCAGAGGTGTCTTACTTTCTACCACACTATTGCTCGACAGTTTGACACAGTGTGTGCGCGGTCGTGTGGGTACGGCTACATCCCGGCATGGGCATGGTCATGTTGCGAACCCATGGGGCGAATGTGTTGACACTCTGGCGAGACTATGTGCCATGCAAGTGCTTCCCACATTCTTCGAACCACAGTGGCGCGCGATGGTGGAACAGGAGCCCCACCTGGGATCTGTGCCGTGACTGTGGCTATGCTATGCCTCACAGGATGTGCGTATATCCCTGCCCCCCACAGCTAACCGCCCAATCCCCGGCACCAAGGTGCCCCTCACGGACCTCCAGCTGATCATCCCTAGCCCTGCCAAGACCTCCGCTAAGAGATCTAGGCGCCGCCTTGTCGCATTCTGGGTGGCGATGGCTAGCGTGCTTGCCATGGGCCCTAAAGCCTTTCAGGGGCCCCAACAGCCCCCCCGACAAGCTGGCCTCGACATCGCGGGTCGTATGATGCAACTATCGGCGCTGTTCGCTGTCAAACCTGAACGCGCTGGTGGGCACTGTGGAGACACGTATGCCCAAGACTAGGGTTGCAGCTGTGGGGGGCTATCGGGTGCTGCGCGCCGCTGCCCTACCGTCAGGAGGAGGGGGGTGTTCGCTATGGGCCAACACCGAATTGGAGTGCGCCCCCGGTTGCCGTATTGCTGCGACGCACTGCTATGTGACGCATGCCGCACCTCGTGTCATGCTAGTATCCATCCCCCCCCGCCCCTCAGCCCTTGCGTTTGCGTCGCACATGCGCCACGCTCGCGCCGCCCGCCAGCTGATGCGCAGCAGTGGTGGAGGGATCTGGGGGATCTCTGCCGCGACCGGCGACGAGGAGCGGAGCACCTCGTCGCGCTCATCGATGCCAACGCAGCGGTAGGCTCTCTTCCCGACGCGCAACATGTGACATTCCTCCAGAGGGGCAGAACTTTGCAGGGGATTGCTTCAAACGGTTTTGATCCAGTACTCAGCAGTGGGCCCCGCCTACCTTCTCTGAGGGCCCCTCTGGGCATGCGGGCGCATGGCGGGCTCTTGGGGCTCGGGCGCCTTCCCGCGACGTTGCAGGTGAAACAGCGCGGGATTGACAGGGATTTCGATCTTACAGTTACACAGCCAGACCGCATGGTGGTGGCAGCACAGGTAGCAATCCCCTCCTCGGATTACACCCTAGAGGCCCCTAGGCCCTACAAGATCCCACATGGCCCGGCGCTGTGCGATGACCCAGTGGCCTCGCAGCTATTCAACTACATGCTCGCGCAGTTCCGCCCTCTCGACTTCAGTGTTCGTGCCGCTGACCACGCCGAGGAACGTGGCGACCGTGTCTGAGAAACAGTTGGAGTACGTAGCTTTCCCCATTCGTACCACGCCAACGGGCAGGCAGCCGCGCCAGAACTGGATCAGCCATGCCGCCCTGATGCTGCGAGAGGAGAGGGCTCTCTTCCTCGGGATCCAACGGCAGCTTCTGCATCGTGTCAATCAGGCAAGCTTGCATGTTCCTCTCCTTGCCTGGCAGCTCTTGTGCGCAGCAGCGCGGAGATGGCAGCGCGCCAAATATGACTGAACGCTCAGGGCCAACGCCTGCTTTCCAATGCTTCCGATTTTGCGTCGCGAAGTTGTAGCGCTCGCGCCCGCGGGGCGGCTCCTCTACTCCGAGATAGAGGCCGTCATGGCGCTGCCCCCGACGGACCTCCTGCAGATCCCCTCCAACGGATCCATGTGGCCCCCACTACTGGGCTTGTAGGACTTCTTGCAGGGTGCCAAGGCTTGCCTACTTGCCCACCAGGACCTACTCTTACATCATGCGACGGCCTTCATTAGGCAGGCCACTACTGATCATGCCCTGGCTCACTGTGCTAACCTGGCTAGTGAAGTATCCAGTGCACGGTCCAAGCATCAATCTGACGCCGTGTTCGCCAAGCTCAGGGGCATGGGCATGGGGCTCCGAGAGCGACTTTCAGCGCGGGCACTGCCCGCGGTGGAATTGGCAGACGGCGCCGTCGCTGCTGCGTGGGGGCGGCGGACAGGTGGCCTCGCCATCTCGCAGGCGAAGATGTAGGTAATGTGGCCCCAATTCGTGGGGCTAGTGCGCTGCAGGCTCAGCTCCCAGCTCTACCCGACAGCCTCACTCACAACATTCTGCAGAGTGAAGCTTTTTTGCCCGCGCTCGCTTCATTCCAGCAGGCGCGCAACGCAGCGATGGCGTCAGCAGCCAGCCTGGATGGCATCCCAGGCGCGCTGCTGCGGATGTTCGGCCCCGCCATTGCCTCCCACTAATTCCCAGTGGTGGTGAAGTCAGTCCCGCGGGTGGAAGAGCCGCTGCGCAATGGAAGGGAGGGAACTATTGGAAAATGGAAGCGGAAGGCCAACACAGCCAAGTGTAAGAACCATAGGGCGGTCATGATATCCTCCCAGGTGGGCAAGAAGTACCGCGAGCTACTGCGCGGCCCCATCGTGCAGCCCCTCCCCCCGCGCAGCAGGTGGCTCACACTATGGAGGGATTGAGGGGGGAGGTGTGGGGCTTGCAGCGTTCGCACTACGCTTGTTTCAAGAGTTAGCGCTCGCAACGTGCACCCCAGCTCTGTTCGCCATGATTGATTCAGCCCCCGCCTTCTATCGTGCAATTCGTGAGTTAGTGCTGCAGTTGGGCGCCGGCGATGCGGAGCTATGCCTCGTTCTCCGGACAGCGGGGCTACCCGAGGCGGCTGTGGATGACCTCGAGACCCACATTGCCACGCATCCCCACCTTCTAGAGGCTGCTGGTGTCTCCCAACATGTGAGGGCCCTGGTTGCGGACAGCTACCATTCCATTTGGTTTTGGTACCCCGGGGCCAACTCTGTCGCTTTTACCTTGTCTGGAGCGGTGCCAGGAAAACAGCCTGCGGGCGCGGTTTCCAATTATGTAATGTCAGCATGTGTCAAAGAGGCACAAGCCGGCCTG